GCTTATGCTAATGAAGCCCGGGAAATTCAAATCCCGGGCTTCATTAGCAAGTGCGGTATGCATACATTACCCCGCTAGTTAGAACTAGCGGGGTAGTGTAGACATACCCTTAGGAAGAGAACATTTATCTCTCTAACAACATGGATTCCTATTCCTTCCTGCATCATAGCATAACATAGTGTAAAAAATAGCAGGATCTGACCATCAGAGAGGGGAGTAAAAGTAAAACTCCTCTACAGAGAGACTTCCTTTCCTTTACCACAATTACTTGGAACCCTCTTCCTCCCTTGAGCAGATTGTGCTGCTGGATTTACCCTGAGGGAAAGAAAGGGGATAAGAAACATCTAGGAATCTGAGTGCAAAGTAACCATCATGGAAAGGTGGACAGCAATACAACAGTGCTGGTAGAGAAAAACTGCACAAAAAATGGGCTGCAGTTCAGAAACAGAAAGCTGCAGTAAAGAGACCCTGATCCCATTTAACAGGTCAGGAGAGGCTATCTCAAAGAGATATGTGTGTATGGTAGTGAGGAGGGAGCTGTGTTAAAAAGACAGACATTTTCTTACATCCAAGATAGTAATTGTATTTGGTTTAGGAAAGCATTTAGGCACAGTGCTTTGCTGTACTGAAGCAAATACCACCACCATCAGCATTCTTTAAGAGTTCCCATACAGAAACTTTTTTCAAACAACTTTGTCTCTTGTATTTACCATTGAAAGTCCCCAAACAGGGGAATCCATTGATGTCTGTTCAGAATACAACTAAAATACATTAACATAAGATTTGTCAAAACATTTAGCTATAGCAATGAGACAGCTCTCGACTTCTAAGTGAAATGAACAATTTACAGATGTAATTTTCGGGAGGTTTAATCAGAGCTTGCCTTTTTTTTCTTGAGAAAAAGCTGCAAGAGCAAATTATGCAAGAGTTTTCATGTGTTTTCATGTTAGATTTCCATCTCTCCTGGGAGGCTTGTGCCTGTTTGGGCACCTCACCCACCCCCATAATGAAACAACTTTCCGAAATAAGAAAAAATGTCACTCTAGTGGGGGTGTTTAATATAACCTTTTAATTACTGGCTTTAAGGGACAGGAGGAGTGCTGGCCAGCACCTAGTGACTAAGGGGTTAAATTCAGATAGCCAGAAGAACCAACAGGAATGAGGTGCTGAAATTTGAATTGTATAAGATTCCTTGCCTGCTTTCTTCGAGTGAGAGAGAAAAACTAGGATTCGAGAGAGACAGAATGGTTTCAACTCAAGCAGGACTACCATTCCTCCAGGGAATTTGGGGCATGGAAGTGGACTGAACCAAGAAAAGATTGGAAGTAAGTAAAGGGAAAAAGTGAATCTAGTTGCAATCAGGGTGTTTTCTTTATTTTGTGGTTTTGTTTGTGCTTCTCTGTGTGGTTCTATGCCTCCCCTCCTTTGGTATATATGGTTGTGACTATTTTCTTCCACTATTTGATCTGAGGAAGTGGGTCTGGCCCACGAAAGCTCATCATCTAATAAACCATCTTGTTAGTCTTTAAAGTGCTACATTGTCCTGCATTTTGCTTCAGCCACCCCAGACTAACACGGCTACATTTCTATCACTCCCCTCCTCACTTACCATCTAAACATTTTCTCTTGTGTTTTAATTTGTTTTCCTTAGTTGCTCTGTAACATCTAGCAACCAAGTATGCGCTATCAAGAATATCTTTTGTTTTGTAATAAAAATCACTTTTTTAAGGTGATGATTTGATACTTGTATTCTGGGAAGTAACACGGGGGTCTGTCTGTGTATCTGCATGCTTCAGGCTCAGAGGACAGCTACTAGAGACTGCAGCTTATTCTTCTCTTTTCAAGCTCTCTTGTCACAGAAGAGCCTGGGGCACCCTGAGAGTGGGTTCAAGTGTTTTCCCTGGTTTTAGGGATAAAAATCATTTGATGGTAGCAGCTACCCCCCAAAAAATATGTGCAATATGGGAAAGTTTTTGTAATCAGTGCCTGTAGTTGCAATGTATATTTAAAGTCTTTGCGGGCCCCCACCTTCTGCACTCAGAGTGCCAGAGTGGGAAACAGCACTGACACTGACAAACTGCAAAGTACCCATATCTATGTTCTGATTCATTCATTTTAGAAAAAGATGGTCCTGCAAACCACTTGGGTGCTGAGAGTAGCTGCTATCTGACTTTTGGATTATTTAATGTTGAATCTTATTAATATATTTCATTATTTGCATACATATTTAACTTCTCTGTCACATTTTTCATTGTATATATATATATGCATGAGAAATATACTCCCTATCATAAGAGTAAGATGTCATCACAAGTCATTTCTGGATTTTGTCTAATAACAAACTCAGACCTCTACTGGTAAACTCTGCTTGCATCTTCAAAGTTACTGGTAAATTCTGACTTTTTATGAAAGCATAAAATTTCCCTTTAACGTTATTGGAGCTATGGTCATTTGATGAGAGTATTTGTCCATGTGGACCAAAAATGGAGACATAGGCACAATAAGTGGCCTTTGCAACCATGAGGCAAGACACAGCATATTAAAATGCATATGAAAAATGTGGTATTTGTGCATGCAGAGTGTGCATTTCCAAAGGCATGGTGATTGGTCTTGCATCAAAGAATCCAATCATAAGCTAAATGCCTGCATAAAATGTTGCATTCTAGTAGTGATATTTATACCTGGGTGAACACTACAAGAATGTTGGACAACTTGATTTGTGTCCCTTTCAGTATTTATTTATATTGAGTGACGGGAGGGATCACTTGATGATTACCTATTGTGTTTCCCATCACTAAGGAGGACACACACAGCACACGGGCCTGCACGCATGTTTAGGGCAGCAAACGTTCCCAGGCGAGCAAGGTGAGGAAGAGAACACTGAGCCTGGCAGCACTCTCTCCAGCAAGTGGCATCTGCGGCTCACACACACCTCCCCTGACACCCTCCCCCCTCTCCTCTAGCAGGCAGGGATAAAAGTCCTCTCTCTGTGGGACACCCCACTGCAAGAGGGAAGATAAGCCACCCCGTCGTTGTCCTCCCCCCACCACCACCGCACACACAAGCTCCTAGCATGGCCGGCACCTTCCGATGCCTGTTTTCTTCTAAGGCATTGGGATGACAAGGCTCCCCTGGAACATCCATGCCCCTGCAGGAAAGTCCCTGCTGTCAAGGCCACAGATGACCTCACTTGAAGCACTTCGTGTTTATCTGAATGGAGACCTTTCAATGTCTGCTCACAGTAGGCTAGGCTTCATGCACCCTGACTCCTGGGACGACTGCACTTGTCACTTTTATTCTAGACCAAGCTGTGAGTGAGACGTGTCCACCTCCCGTACCAATCTCCAGATGCCGTAAGACCCGCAGGTGCCAATGACTCCAGGAAGGCCTGCAGTGGGAACACGTTGCCTGCCTATATTCCCTGCAGTGATCTCTGGATGCTGACCTGGAGCTCTGTTGCTCCATCTGGCAGGAGATGTTGCAGCAAACCCAGAGCATATGCGCAGATTACACCGCCACTGTCAATCACCTGCTATCTGCCTTTAAGAGGTCCAGCAGCTGCCAACCCGCTCCTGCTGCTGCTCTTGTTTCAGCTACTGCTCCTGATCTTGCCCCTCCAGCTTCTCCCCCCAGCTTCCCTGTTGGTGCTGAGGGCCCCACACATAAAATGGTGGGATCAGCGGAGACAGGCACCAGTACCAGCCCCATCTCTGAGCCTCTCTAAAGGTACTGCAGAAGCCCCTTATGAGGAGACTCAGAAGAGTATGTCACAGGTATCCTTGTCTGAAACTCTCCCTGAGGGCCTCCTGGATGTGCACAGCTGCTGATAGGATTGCTGCAAGGCAGCGGTACATGGCTGCTCAAAAGCCCTTGTGAGCAGCTTGGCCTCTGCCCTGCACCCTGATGGAACATTTCCCCCCATGTTCTTGCACAGGTTGTGTAGGACACAGCAGGCCAACACCGCAGGGTGGACAGTCCATCCACCAAGGACCAGGCAGGTGAGGAGACAGCCGAACCTTCCTTTCAGATGCCTGAAGGCACCCTCTACCATGATGCGGGCCCTGCTCATCCTGCCATTGAAACATCCTTTATGGGGTCCAGGTGTCCAGTGTATGGTTTTATTAGCCAGGGGAGCAAGAGGTAAGCTGCATCCCCCATGATGCACATGGGCATGTCCACATCCCTGATCCTGATGGTGTGATCAGGGAAAAATGTGCCAGATTGTATTTTCTGGAACAGGTTGGAGTTGCAGAAGACGCGGGCATCATGCGCTTTCCCTGACGACCTGATATTGATGTCAGTGAAGTGGCCTTGGTGGTCCACGAAGGCCTGCAGGATATTGAAAAGCACCCTTCTAGTCAATGTAGTCAGTGGTTGGGGGCCCAGATGGGGATATGGGTGCCATCAATGCCCCCACCCCAGTTCCCTGCAAAGCCAGGAACAATGGGGTCCATGTCGCCCAGGATGATGACCCTGCACAGCAGGATGGTGCTGATGGCCCTCACCACCTGTCAGAGGATGCAAACAATGAATCACAGGGTTGCCAGATCCCTTGGAAGGTCCCCAAGGCCAACCCCATTTTCCCCACACCAGGCCCAACCCCTGCTTACTCCATCCCATAGCAGGGATTGTGAAGGTGGGACTGACAAATCTTCCAGGGAGGGAGCTTCTACCCCCCCTTCCTTATGGAGCCCCATTCCAGTAGTTCACCACCCTCCTAGAACAATCATCAGAGAGTCATAGCTGTACGAATGCGGCCCCAACAGTTGATCTCCCATGCAAAACTGGTTCCCAACAGAGCAGTAGCTGTCCTGCGTGGTGAGCTTCCAAAATGCAATGCAACTCACTTCTGGAGGGGGATAGCAGGTCACATGTGGGTGTCCCATCACCTGAAGGCAGGGGCAAGCCAATCAGACATGTCCAGAAAGGTATCCTTTTGCATGAGGAAGTTCTGGAGCCACTGTCAGTTGTCCCACCACTCCAGGACAATCTGGTTCCACCAGTTAGAACTGGTATCCCGTCACCACAAGTGGCAGTGCACAGTGTACAGGGGAGAGTGGGAGGGACTGTGCTGCATTAGCAGCATGTGGAGAGGGGAGAGGAGGTGCCCCATAGAGAGCTGTGGGTCCTGTTCCTGGTGTGCCACGAGGGAAGCCTGAAAAACTGAACAAGGGTCTAAGAGCTGGCGAGTGCTTTGCAGCAGTTCAGGATCCATTGCTGGGAGTGCTGTGGTGTCCACGAGGGCAACAAGAGCATGTGTTGAAGAAAGTTCGCTGTACCTCAAGGAGGTAGGCAAAGATGAAGAGCCTAAGACACAACTGTACAGGGAGGAGTCCCTTTAACCATGAGCCTCAAAGTACTGCTCAAAGTAATTCTGGGAGGCTTTAAATGAGATTCAATGTCCAATCAGTGTGCACACGCTATTTCAAAATAGCTCAATGTTATTTTGATGGGCATTTGTAGTGTGGATGGGCTATTTTGAAATAAACTATTTTGGAGTTTGTATTCCAAAATAGCTTATTCTGAAATAAGCATGTTGTATAGACTGTGAAGGGCTTGATAGAAGGGGAGAAAGGCAGCTCTGTAAAAAAAACCAAACAAACAAACCAGCAATGGCTCTCCCTCGTCAATTAAAAGCAGTGAGGCAGGGTGGCTATAAATCGATTAAGGGCCAGGCGAACTGACTTCAGCTGCCACAGAACATCTTTCAAAAAGCTTCCCAGTGCGGGAGAGAGAGGGGGAGAAAGCATGGGGAAGGAGTCTGGAGAGGAACTAACAACGGATAAGGAGACTCAGAAGAGCTGAGCAGAACAACACCAGCACTGCCAAAGGCTGCAGGTGGAGGTGAGAGGCTCCAATAGGGAGTATTTGGAAGCTTCCTTCCCCAGGTGGCCAGAAACTTCAGATAGTGGCTGAGGAGGACTGTTTACTCAGCCCCTACTGGCCAGGGGCATCTGCCCCAACACCCCTTAGTTTTGCCAAGGGACAAAAGCCAAATGCTAAAAAAAGGCAAGTGGGACTTGTACCATGGCCCCTAAACTGCGGAATACAGGTCAGAACAGGGATCTGGGAACCAGGAGTGGGACTGACCCTAACATAAGATGTACTCTCAGAGAAGCAGCTGATGATTCACTATTGCCAGCATAGCTCATCATGAAGCACTTTGAATGACTCTCAACTATCAAAATGGTTCCTGTATGATTCTTCCAGCCAGAAAAATTAGAGAAGCAATAAAGTTGTTTAGAACATTCTCACTTCACTACACACACACGACTTAGATGCACACAACATAATTTCATGCAATGGAGAATGTAGCCTTTTGATTTCTCTTACTGGTTGCTGTATTGAGGTTGATTGGATCATTTATCTAACCAATCTGGAGTCTATTTATGTGTTTAAATGAAGTTATCACTTGGATTGTCACCATTTCTCTCCAAAGGGGTGTTTACAATACTGGTTAAAAGCAGCAACCCTTCAACTAAACTAAGGAACCTTGCCAATCTGCAGAGAGCATTCTGGCTTTATGATGCAATCTGTAGCCTTTCATTTTCACCTATGGGCCTGAAAATATAGTTGTCAAAACCTTTCTGCTGCAGGGGAATTTGGAAATTGAATGTATACAGTCAGTTAAATTCTAGCTTATGTTTAGTATCAGAGGGGTAGCCGTGTTAGTCGTGATGCATTTGACGAAGTGGGACTTTGCCCACGAAAGCTTATGCTCCAACACTTCAGTTAGTCTATAAGGTGCCACAGGACTCCTCGCTGCTTTAGCTTATGTTTAGTTCACAGAAACAGACCTCATAACTTTGCATTAACATAAAAAAAAATCAACATTTTTGTCCTTTTCTTGCTAGGCGTTTGCTAACATTGGTAACCATTACTCATAGTGTAGGCAGTATATTGTATCAATGATTTATCTCATCAAGCATTGTTCTATGGTGTGTTGTTTATATAACCTTATAGTTATTGTAAATGTCATAGCTCATGTTTTTCAGAAAGAGATATGTTGACCTACTTTGTTTTCTTTGTTCCACTCCTGCATTGTTAAATCCTTTACCACACTTTGGAGTTCCTATTCCATGAAGACATTATGATGATCCTCAGAGTACCTAGGAAACTTGTTACCCCCTTCCTGAACTGTGAAGGAGTCAATCTTGTACTTAGCTGGGTGTCAGCTTCCTAATACTAGCAGCTTGTTAGCCACTCAAAGGGTACGTCTACACTACAACGTTAATTCTAACTAACTTAGTTCGAATTAGTTAATTCGAACTAAGCTAATTCGAACTAACGCATCTAGAACTAAAAACTAGTTCGAATTAGCATTTTGCTAATTCGAACTAGCAAGTCCACATTGAGTGGACTCTGAACAGGGCTTAAGGATGGCCGGAAGCAGTGCCGGCAGGGCATCAGAGGAGGACTTAGAGCGTGGAGATGCTGTCTCAGGCTAGCCGAGGGCTGCGCTTAAAGGGTCCCGACCTCCACCCCGGACACACAGTTCTAAGGGGTGCCCCGCTTGCAAAGAAGTTCTGGCTTGGAGTGCCCGGAGTACCCACACTGGGCACATCACACCACTCGGCCATCAGCCAAGTCCAGGATCTGCCACAGAAAAATAAAGAATGCTCATTCAGAAAGTGTGGGTGTGAAATTAGATTAGTTCAACATGGGAGAAATATTTTCTTGCAGCTGATCATTTAAAACAATGTTAAACTTCACCCAGGAAGGCTGAAATACAATTTATTTTACTTAGTGGGTGTAAACACATTTCCCTGTATCAAGTTATATATGCTTAATTTTTCTATCTTAAAAAAAAACACATAAAAACATATGGGCTACGTCTACACTGGCCCCTCTTCCGGAAGGGGCATGTAAATTTCACTAGTCGTCGTAGGGAAATCCGCGGGGGATTTAAATATCCCCCGCGGCATTTAAATAAAAATGTCCGCCGCTTTTTTCCGGCTTTTAAAAAAGCCGGAAAAGAGCGTCTAGACTGGCCCCGATCCTCCGGAAAAAGTGCCCTTAATCATGAACTTTAAAGCAGAGAAAGGGACTAGCAATAAGGCCCTTGCCAAGGAGCTAACTTCTTCAAAGAATAGCAAAATCACCATTGCCCTGAAACTCAGAGCATTTAATACATTACAGACAGGAGTGACGGATGTGCTAGCTTCTTCTGACTCTTGCTGACGGGGCACCAACTGTTCCTGCTGTGCCATGCTGAAAGCAATGTCAACTTCTTAAGCATCTTTCTTATCTGAGACTCTTCCCTTCTGTTTTATGGAAAAAGATCAACTTCCAGGCCAAAATGAGGCTGTATAGCGAGGTTCCTCCTGGCACCTCCACGTAAGTTTGTGATACAAGTTCCCAGCTACGAGAGGAATGATCAACACTGCCTTACAAGACCATATCCCCTATAACTGGGCCATGTAATTTGATCAGCTACTCAGATGTATTTTGCAGACTCAAATTCAAGATTTCTTTCCCATTTCTAAAACATGGCTACTCTGAAATACATCACCATCTCACAGTTCATGATACTTCATCACAGTACCTTGCTACATTTCACAAGTCTTTGGGACACTCTGTGTCTGCTTCTAACACTAACAGACATGGGTCTTCAGAAACTGTTCCTTCCTTACTCCCCCAAAGTAGAAACCAGGAAGAGCCAAGGCCCTTACTCCCAGAGCCTTGCAAAACTATTTGCTTAATATCTGCAGGTGTCCACACCCACAAATGTGGATGTGGATATCCGTGTCTCATTTTTGTGGATACATATTCTTTTGTCTACAAAGACCTAAGAAGGAGGATCATCACAGTGGCTGCAAAAAGCAACAGCAAGTGTATTCTGCATTCACACAAAGGGACTCAGCATAGCACCATTAAATGCAGGATTGTACCTAAGTAGTGCAGGGTCTGCTGGCTGAGTGCTGGCAGGCTTGCACCTGGCACGGGCATCGTAGCCAGCCCGTGCCCCTTTAAGGGGTCCGGGGCCGGGAAGGGGGCATAGAGTTTCCCTGGTGTTGGCCAGAGTGGCCACCAGGGAAACCTGGGGAGGGCTAGCCTCCCACTAGTTCGAATTAAGGGGCTACACACCCCTTAATTCGAACTAGCTAGTTCGGACTAGGCTTGACGAGTTTCCCTGGTGTTGGCCAGAGTGGCCACCAGGGAAACCTGGGGAGGGCTAGCCTCCCACTAGTTCGAATTAAGGGGCTACACACCCCTTAATTCGAACTAGCTAGTTCGAACTAGGCTTAATCCTCGTAAAATGAGGTTTACCTAGTTCGAACTAAGCGCTCCGCTAGTTCTATTCAAATTCGAACTAGCGGAGCGCTAGTGTAGCGCCTATTAAAGTTAGTTTGAACTAACGTCCGTTAGTTCGAACTAACTTTGTAGTGTAGACATACCCAAACATACTTCTTTAGACTATGCAAACCTTGTTTTTGTGTTGCTGGTTAATAATAGGTGCACCCCACTTCCTGAATCTCTATGAAGTATTTGAGTCCCTTTGAGTCTCAACTCAAGAACAGCACTTAGCTTTCACTTTTTCCAGCATACATACTGGTGGGGACATATCCAGCTGCAGCACATGCGAGCAGGCTTTTTAGCTAGCTTCCGCATGAGAGGGCTTTAGCTAGGGCACATCCCATTTCCTGAGGCAAACAAACCCCTGAGAGTAACACCAGCATTTTACCATCTTGTGCTAAACAGAGAACTGCAAAACTTAAGCTCATAAATGTTT